CACATACATGGGAATCTACAAGAAAGGTGATGTTGTGGACATCAAGGGAATGGGCGCTGCTCAAAAAGGAAGGCCCACACATGTCACCATGGCAAAACCGGAAGAGTCTGTCACCCAGCATGCAGTGGGCATTATTGTGAACGAGCAAGGCAAGGGCAAGATTCTTGCCAAGAGAATGAATGTCCGTATGGAGCATCGAAGAGCTGAGATAGCTTCCTGAAACGTGTGAAGGAAACCGATCAGAAAAAAAGGGAAGCCAGAGAGAAAGGCACCTGGTTACCTGAAGCGTCAGCCGGCTCTGCCCACAGGAACACGCGCTGTGAGAACCCACGGGAAAGAGCCTGGGCTGCTGGGACCCGTTCCCCATGAATTCACGGCATGGTAAGCGGGGTGTGTGTGTGTGTGTGTGTGTGTGTGTGTGTGTGTGTGTGTGTGGAATTTAAAAGACTTCTGCGCTGATAAAATATACCTGTCTTTCTTCTTCGGCTGGGTCTGAGTTACAGGCCTTTTCTTCCATTGACTCACATTCCATTTTTTGTTCTTTTAACTTCCAGGGTAGCAGGTAAGAAGAAAGAACTTTCTTTTTGCCTGAAAATGTGCTAAGTTTTCCCATGTCCTGATGAGCTTATGAATTTTAACCTTCATATAGCTAAGTGTGTGCCTTTTCCTATCAGTCCAGTCTGGTACTTAAGTCTTTGTTTAGCTCAAAGACTTAAAAATTGAATCTATTATTTTTTAAATATATAATATTGATTTTTTATTTTTTATTTTATTATTATTATTATTTATTTTTTTATTTTTTACAGAGAAGAAGAGAGAAGGAAAGAGAGTTAAAAGCATCAATGAGAGAATAACATCCATCAGCTGCTCCTGCACACCTCCCTTGACCGGAATCGAACCTGGAACTTTACAGTCTGCAGGCTGATGCTCTATCCATTGAGCCAAACCGGTTAGGGCATGAATGTATTATTTAATGATGACCTCTCCTCTCCTGTTCTTTATTCTGAAGGAACTCTACAAGTTGAGTTAAGTTTCCTGGGTCTGTTCCAATCTCCCATCTTTAACCACATGATTTGCATCTCCATATTTCTAAGATACTTCATCTTTAATTCTCTAGACCTGTTTTCAGGTTTTAGCAGTACATCCTCTCCTGTGATTTGTCTATGGAAATTTTGTGCTCTGATTTTCTAGTTCAGGGAAATCTTTTTTGTTTGAGCTATATTCATTTTTCAGTCAGAGATTCACCTGCTTCCTCCAGCAGGTCCTCTCTCCCTCTGGTTTGCCTTTCCCAGCTTCAAGGGCTTAGAAATTCAATCCTCCACTGTTTTATGTTTGTTTGTTTGTTTGTTTGTTTGTTTGTTTGTTTTTGGAGAATAGGGGAGGCTCAGCAAAGCCCCTGATTGTTCCTGGAAAGCAGGCTGTTTCTGGGACTTGCTGCGTCACTCTTGGCTCTGCGGCTCTTCTCCAGAAATTTGTCCTCAAATCCTCTGCCAAGAGCTCAGCAGAGCCCACTTAAAGTTCCCCGCCTAGCTCTGGCAGGTTTGCTCAATGGTTAGAGTATCAGTCCATGGACTGAAGGGTCCCAGGTTTGATTCCCAGTCAAGAACATGTGCCTCAGTTGCAGGCTGGATCCTGGCCCGATTGGGGCACGTGCAAGAGGCAACCAATTGATGTGTCTCACGTCAATATTCTCTCTTTCAGCCTCTCCCCCTTCCTTCCACTGTCTCTAAAAAAATAAAAAATAAATGGAGCCCTAGCTGGTTTGGCTCAGTGGATAGAGCATCAGCCCATGGACTGGAGGGTCTCTGGTTTGATTCTGGTCAAGGGACACATGCCTCAGTTGCAGACCCTGGTCAGGGCTCCTGTGGGAGGCAACCAATCTGCCTGTCTCTCTCACATCAATGTTCCTCTCTGTCTCTCCCCCGCATTTCCACTCTCTCTACAAACCAATGGAAAAATATCTTCAAGTGAGGATTAATAAAAGAAAAAATAAAATAAAGTTCCTCAGCTAGAGTTATTGGAGGAGGGAGGTCTTCATAGGGTTGCTACTGGTACGTGCACAGAATCCCCTCACTCTAAGCAGTATAAGTATTACTGACAAAGTGATAATCACCAAAAGATTTAAAAGCAGAAGCCATTATTAGGAGGTCAGAACTCAAGAGTTGCAAGAGATAGAAAGTCTAACTTAGACTGACTGACTAAGCAAAAGAAGGATTTTATTAGCTTGCTTACATAACCAAGGAGTTCAGGAAGCAGATCTTGCTCTGGGCATGGCTGGATCCAAGGTTTCAAATGAAGCCATTAAGACTTGGTCTCTCTCCATATCCCAGCTCTGTTACCCTCCTTGTAGCCAAAACCAAGTTGAAAGTTTAGACTCATTTTGACAGCAAGCAGTGCAACGCCAGCGATGGAAGGGCCTTGGTTGGGTGGTCGGGGGTGGCTTCTGAGGCTCCTCCTATAAATAATTCGTTAAGAACTTCCTATCCATGAACCGTTGACAATCCCAAAGACCCTTCGTCTTTGGATCTTGGGCTTATTCCTGTCTTCCCCGCTGGGATCTCAGGAAGGGGTGGGGAGGCGAGGAGAGACCGGGAGGGATCCCCAAAGGATCCTCTGTGTCTTCCCTTGAGCTGCTCTGGGATTCTGCTTGGGTCAGGGCACTCCCGGCTGGAAACAAACGCCAGTGAGGCAGGGAGGGCGCCAAGGGAAGCAACGGGAGCTCTGGCAGGGGAGTGAACTCCCAGGTACTTGGTAAAGGGAGGCCCTCACCCAGTTGGAGAGATGTGGCAAGGGGGCCCTCAGAAGCATTGAGGCGCATCGGCTGCCCCACATTAACCTTCTTTATTTCCTAGATTAGGAAGTTGCCACAGACCTGGCGTTCAGTCGAACACCTAGGCTAGGGCATGAGCCTTCAGTGACAGATACGAATAGAAGGTAAGGCCCTCACGGGTTTGACTCAGTGGATGGAGTGGAGGCCTGTGGACTGAAGGGTCCCAGGTTCGATTCCAGTCAAGTGCATGTACATCCACAGGAGGCAGCTAATGGATGTTTCTCATCGATGTTTATGACTCTCTATCCCTCTCCCTTCCTCTCTGTAAAAAAAAAAAAAAAAAAAAAAAATCAGCCGAAACTAGTTTGGCTCAGTGTCTAGAGCGGCGGCCTGTGGACTGAAGGGTCCAGGGTTTGATTCTGCTCAAGAGCATGTACCTTGGTTGTGGGCACATCCCCAGTAGGGGGAGTGCAGGAAGCAGCTGATTGATGTTTCTCTCTCTATGTTTCTAACCCTCTATCCCTCTCCCTTCCTCTCTGTAAAAAAAATCAATAAAATATATTTTTTAAAAATAATTTAAAATTTTTAAAAATCAATAAAATATATATTTTTAAAAAAGATAAAAAGGTAAGAAAAACTTAAGCGTTGTAGGGGAGAGAGAAAGCAGAGGATCCAGGCTTCAGAGATTGGAAAGAGTTCAAGCCATACCCAGCTCCGCACGGGAGGCGCCCAAAGCGACGGAGCCTATAAATTCCGGAGGGTGGGGGGCCCGAGCCCGGAGACTTCATCTCCCAGCATGCCGCGGGCCCGGCAGCCTCGCGCCTGCGCAGAGGTGGTGGCGAGGCCGCGTCCCGCCGCGCGGGGGCGCTCGGAGCTCGGTGCTGCGCCGGCGGGCGGCCGCGGAGCCGGGTGGGAGGGAGAGCCGGGCTGGGCTGGGGGTCGTTTGAGGCCTCGGCTGCGATGGCCGGCGAGTCCCAGGCGCGAAGCCCTCAGCCCTCAGCCCCAGCCGCGGACACGCCGAGGGCCTTCTGCCCGGCAGCCTGCAGAACCCCACATCCCGCTGCGGGCGGCTCCCGCATCCGGTACCCGCCCCAAAGCCACCTCCCGCCCACACACCCAGCTGCTTCCACCCGGCCGCTTCTGCTGGGGAGGGAGGCGCCCTGGGGTGCTCAGGCCCAGGGACCAGGGCACTGGGACATGGTGTGTTTGTCTGTGTGTGTGCAGAGGAGGTCCCCGTTCCCTACTCGGCCTTCTCTGGACGCTGGGAAGAAGTTTGGTGAAAGCCTCAGGCTCCCCTTTCTTCTGCGCCTCACACCTCACGTCTGTCCGACCGGCCTCTGCAGAGGCCCGGGGAGGAGCTGATAGACCACAGGAGTGGGGTGCAGCAGGTACAGAGCCCATGGAGAGTAGGCAGGGCTGCTGAGCTTGCAGGCTCCAGGGGATGGGCGTTGGGCGGTCCTCAGTGTAAATTCTGGGACCTTCTAGCTAGCAGCTGTGGCCTCCACCCCTGGCACCCATCCCTGGCACCCACCGTTGGCATCCACCCCTGCCGGCCTCCCTCCACCCCTGCCCTGTTGATGAGGCTGCCCCTCTTGGCCCTCTCCCCCAGCCAGGCTCCCCTGGGAAGCGCTCTGTGCAGACAGCAGAGCTCCCACTCCCACCATGTGGGGTATCTCGCAGGTCTGAGGCCCACTTAATAGTCTAGACATATTTTTTTTTTGAGAAATTTTATTTAAAAACATGGGGACACAACAGAGGCAGCAGGATGGAGGCTGGTATTCTCCTGCCAGGGTTCGCAGACCAGAGCCAGGCTTGGGTTCTTCAGGTTGCTAGGTTCCAGGTTTCTCTCCCCCTCCCCCGCCCCACCCCCCAAACCAGTGGCCTCCCCAGGGGTATACCCACCAGGTCCTCTTAGGCTCTTCCCCTCTGCCCCACTGCCCGCTTCCTGTGTCTGAGGAGTCACTGGTAAAACTCCGGAAGAAGGAGGAAGCCATGAGGGGGCCACTGCCTCTGCTTTCTCCATCCTCAAGGAATGGGGGAGGCGGGAGGGGGGGCTGCTTTTCCCCTGAGAGACTCCCTCAGGCCAGATAGGAGGTTAGGGGGACACCGCCTCCTGTGCCCGGGGAATGGCTGACTGTGCTTGGGGGGTTGTGGGGAAACAGTCATGACCCAGACAGGGTGGCAGTCACCCCTGCCACAGAGGAAGTCTGGGCGATGCCGGCCCTCCGTCTCAGCTGGGTGCCGTCTGGCTGTTGGCGTAGGCCTGGTCTGGGAAGGAAGCCCGGGCTCTGGGGGTCTGGGCACACACGGACGCATAGAGCTCGGGCTCTGGGCCCGGGGCCTGGGGCTTGGGCTCCGCGTCCAGCACCACCTCTGAGTATTTGATGGGGGCTCCAGGGCTCAGGGCTCGGCCCTGAGGAGGCCGCAGCTGCAGGCTGGTGTAGCACATCACCTCCTCCGCAGCCTGGAGATGCAAGGCCGTTAGACGTTCACCGGACCCTTGAAAAAGCGCGCCCCCCCGCCCTCACTTCCTTTCCTTCCCTCCCCTCGTCCTCAGCAACAACGGACTCACCCTGGCGGGGCCTCCAGGTGTTGGATCCTGCTGGTCTGGCCCTGGGTCTTGAGACAGGCGTCCTGGGGCAGGCAACAGGGATCCGGTCACTTCTAGTTCCTCCTCCTGCAGCCCTGCATCCACCCACCCAGGACCTGTTCTCTGGGCCTCGCCCCTCTGCCCGGGTCCTACCTGTCTTCAGATAATGCAGGTTCCCATACAGGGGGACCTCTTCCACAGACCCTCCAGAACTGCAACACGAAGTTTAAGGGTTAAATGGGGAGTTCTTGGAAAGGAGAAATGATCCACGATCCCATTTCTGTCCCCTCCCCGTCCCCCCTCCCACACACACACACACTCACTGTCCCTTTTCTGGACGGTTCCTCCTCCAGCCACTGCTGAAGCGGGACAAGTGTGCAGCCAGCGAGACGAGAAGCAGCAGCGTCACAGCCCCAAAGAGGACCCACAGTCCCCAGGCCGCGGTGAAGGGGGGAATTCCTGCGGATGGAGAGAATAGAGGGGTGGGTATGACTGCCCAGCCCAGCCCTCCAGATCCCAGCAGATGGGCCGGGGCCCCCGCATGACCCCTCCTCCTGTCCCTGCCCCGCCCAGCTTACCGGGCCCCAGCTGATCCGTGCAGTTTGCACCGCTGCTCATGACTATTGATGTGGGAGCCAAGTCTGCAGGCGACGATCTCGCACCCTGAGCCTGGGCGTAAGCCTGGCTTATGGTGTGACAGCTGCAGCAGCCCCCCTTACTCCCACCCCTCCCTGGGCCTGGCCCCCACAGCTCATCATCCCCAATGCTGATGGTGGCAAAGTCGCTGGTTTCCGGGGAGGAAGGGGGAGGGGAGGGATGAGCGAAAGAACTGACACCGCCCAGGGCCTGCACCTGCGCCACTCAGCAACTCCTGAACTTCCGCCGCTCCCCACCTCACACCCCCCTCCCTTGGCCCTGTCCCCCGCTCTGGCCAGAGAAGAGAGAAGAAGGCTTCGCCATGGTGTGGGTGAGCCCACGAAGACTCCCAAGGTGGGCAGAAGTGGCATGAGGCAGGACCCACAGGACAAGGCAGGCAGGCTTTGTGACAGATCTCCTTATGCCACAGGGTACCTGGCTTCTCTCTCCAGTTCCGAGTCTCACGAGGAGAATGTGCTCCTGGATGAACATGCTATAACATGGAATAGGACTGGGACGTCTCCTGGGTATGTACCCTCTCACCACACCCTAAAGCTGATCCAAGGTGAACGTGTTAGGATGACCATTGTCATTGTTATTGTCCTATCTCAGGGGCCCAGTGCATGAAATTGGTGCACGGGTAGGATCCCTAGGCTGGCCAGTGATCAGGACCAATTGGGGCCTTCTGGCTGGCAGCCAGCCGGCCGAGGGAGGCCTACCTTCCCTGACTGCTGGCTGCCTTTGTTTCATGCCACCCCCCTGGTGGTCAGCACATGTCATAGTGAGGGGTTGAACTCCTGGTTGGTCAAACTCAGGAGGGGACAATTTGCATGTTAGCCTTTTATAGTATGCAAATTGCCCCCTCAGGCAGTCATTCAACCATGAGTTTGACTGCTCCCTGTGACATGCACTGACCGCCAGGAGGTGGTGTGGAATATGGTGGGCATCAGTGACCTGCTGTGACCTTTTGCCAGCTACCTGGGGGAGAATTTTAAGACAAAACCAACTAAAAAGTGGTCTCCATTTTATTTTCACCATGTTCCAGCAATCCTAAAAAATGTCCGTAATAAAGTACTCCTCTCGGAAAAAACGTTTATAGATCCAGTTCTACGTTGTTGTGGTAACTGATGAGCTTTCATGATATATACTAGCTTCAAATTAGCACCCCTGTATTACCTATTCTCTAGAAAACATTGTCACGTACATGGAAGTTCATCTAGAGAACTCCCAGGAACCCAATTGGCCCCTGACATAAACAGATTCATCTGGGTGTGTTTAGGTCTAGACTGAGTTCTTAGCAGTTTGTTCAAGTGCTCTCTGAGCATAACCAACTCCTATGATAGCACATATTCCCATAGTTAGCCCATGGATTTATAACAGTAAGTAGCACAAAGATTGTAAAGTCAAAGAAATTGAACTTGAATTACTTTACGTCATTCCAGGTGACTTCTCAGAGTTTTTATTTATATTGAAAATTTCTGGGATTTATTGTGAAATGGAATTTTCTGAATCTTTGTCAAACATCTTTATGATTACCCTTTCCTTAACTGTTTGCATGTTTGTTGCTTAATATGAAGAAACTTTAAAAAATTTTTAATTGATTTTTAGAGAGGGAGGAAGGTTGATGTGAGAGCAGAACATTAATTATTAAAGGCTGCCTCCTGCGCATCCCCTACTGGCGATCCAGCCCACAGCCTGCGCAAGCGCCCTGACCAGAAATAAAACTGTGACCTCCTGGTTCATAGGTTGATGCTCAACCACTGAGCCATACTGGTTGGACACTATATTTAGTTTTATACTGTCATGATTATATCAGACATTCAGTTATACAAATAATTCAGTCTGAATTTCTTTTTTTTTCTTTTCTTTTTTTGTTGTTGTTGTGTGTTTTTTTTTTGTTTGTTTGTTTGTTTTCAGTCTGAATTTCTGACCCTTATTGTTAGTTTATTTTATGGTCCTTATTATTTGTTTCATTTTCTGATTATGAATGAAAATAATTTTGTCCTATAGAAGAGAATTTTAAAAGCATGATCCACACAGGTGTCAAATATGCCAACTATTCATTGTTAACATTTTAAAACAGAGATTTCAAATTATAAAAATCCCAGGTTGTTGAATTGGGGTGGGGAGGTGTAGAAATCAGAATATCTGGCAATAGTGGGCCCAAATTCTCTGAAGGCAACTATGAGTTAGCAGCCATTTATCATGTTAAAAGCCTTTCTCTCCCCTCCTCCCCCCCAAATATTTATTTACATTAACTACACCAACTGGTTTGGAGTACACTGTTCTACCTGGGTAGGCTGCCTCATGGTGGTCAACCATGGTAACTCCCCTGGTCTTTCCCTGCAGTGCCTCCTTCCTTTCTGCATTTTATTCATTTATTTAACACATGTGTACTTCATACATTTAATACACATGTACCAGCACCCATCACTTATGTGCCAAGCTCTGGAGATATAAATAAATATGAGTGAGAAATGGTTTCTTTCCTCTTCAAAGAGCCGTTGGTCTAATCAGGAAGGTGACACAGACAGTTATAAAAGATAGTGTGAAACAGCGGGAGACTACCTAAGTCTGCCTGGAGAAGTCAGGGTCGGGAAGGCCTGGAGGTGGGGTGATGTGAGACAGGTGATATGGAGACAAGCAGAAAATGGAATCACCTAGTCTCTGACCTGATCAACAACACTTAACCTTCACGAACCCGAGTTTCCTCATTTTTAAAAAGTGCTTAACTGTATTTAACTGTTGGATCGTTTGAAAACATTAATTTCCTTCAACAAGGATTTATTGAGTACTCGCTTTGGCAGCACATATACTAAAATTGGAAAGAGACAGAAATTAGCAAGGTAAACACTCAAATTTATTAACCAACGAATTTAATTTTTTTATAACCATGTGCTGTGCTAGGCTATAGGAATAAAATGGTGGATTTCTCCAGCTTTACTGTGATATAATTTACATAGATTGGTATCGACACAATAGTGGCTAACGAGTACACAAAGTTAATGATTCTGCGTTGAATGCTGACATCTAAGATGTCACCTGTCAATCAACAAGAGATTGTAAAATGCAGCCGCGCTGAGAATGAGCCCCGTGCGGTTAGTGCGCGCAGGCGCACCGCCTGCGTAACTAGAGGAGATGACGGACGACGCCCCCGCCACACGCCCGCTCAGCCTTCGCTTCTTGGCGGATTCACAGCGAGAAGCGGGGAGGTCTACGTGCGCGCGCACGTGGCACTCTCTGCCCGCGGTCCGGGGACTTTCCCCTAGGCGCAAGTGAGGAACCGGGTCCTCCGTCTGTAGCCTAGGAAACAGGCCTTCAGCGCGAACTACAAGAAAGTGTTAGGGTGCTCCGGCGTTTTATAGGTCCATCAAGAAATCTACCTTTTGGTTAGGGTGAGAAGACTGGTGGTTTACGAAATAAAAATCACTTTCTGGAACAATCTTCTAATACTTCTGGAGGTATTCCGAGCTAACATAGATTAGAATAAATAGGAAAGAAATTAATTTAGGAAGATTTGGCCAATGGTCCTATGCAAATCACGCACGGCCCCGCCCACAGCATGTGGGCGTGGTCTTCCGGGGGGCGGCCCCAGCGAGCCCGGCGCGCCTACCCATGAGCCCCGGGGCGCTCCGCCGCCTAGCGCCGCAGGGGCCTCAGTCTGCCGGCCCGCAATGGCGGGCGCCGTCTCGCCCGCGGGTGTTCTGGGGCTGCTCCTTGTATCTACGCTGCCCGGGGTCCTCGGGGACCGCTCCAGCCGCGACCTCTGGGCACACCCAGGTACCAGCGAGGGCTGCCGGGGGGGGGGGGGGTAGGGGGGAAGCTGGGATTGCCCTGGAGTCCCAGCCCCATTGACCCTCCTCTGCCCTCCTCCGTCTGCAGGGAACCCCGCCCAGGTCCGCCCGAAGGCCACGGAACCCCGGCGGCCGCCGCCGCCGCCCAAGCACCAGCAGGAGCGGGCCCCGGCGTGGCCTCTGGGGGCGCTGTACACCGCGGCCGTCGTGGCTTTTGTGCTGTATAAGTGTTTGCAGGTGCGGGGTGACCTGTGGTGGGGGTGCCCCGGGCCTGAGTTTCCCGTAGGGTTGTTGTGGTACCAACAGCAAGAGACGTCTCCTGGTCACTCTATGAAAGGAACAGTAGTTCCTCGGCTTTCCAACATGATGGGGTCATTTTGAGCCTGCAGCGAGGTAGTGGGTGTGAAGGGCACGTGGTAAATTGCAAATAAGTATCACGTGTAGTCTTCGCAACAAGCCAATGAGGACCTTAAGCCACTTGCTCAAGGTCAGAGCCAGTCAGTCACTAGCGGAGCTGGGATTTGAACCTAGCAAGTGTGGAGCTCCTGGTGAGATGTCAACTTTGGCAACAAGAGGTTGGTTACTGTAGTCAAGTTTGTTTTTTAAGCTCAAGGTACGAAACAGGCCCATGTTCTTGGGAAGGAGGCCCCGAAATATGAATCGACAGTCCATTTTGGTGGATTGAATCTGTTGCAATGGAAAGTAGTGCCTCCCAGGGCTGTATAGTCAGCCTTGGCCCTATCACTCAATTGCTCCGGGAATTAGAGGGCTCCAGAGCCATTTGGAGGTGATGTGGAACTAGAAGGGACAGCTGGTCATGATTCCAAATAGACTTGAAAGCTAGGATAAAGGCCTGAATTCAGTGATGAAATTTAACAAGGATGGATAAGTTCTATTCCTGGACCCAAATATAGTTGAAACATAACAGCAGCAGCTCACTGATTGGCTAATGAAGTTCATCTGTGTGATGTGACAACCCATTTCCTAAATAAGTACTATGTGTTATCTTATGATCAGAACATTCCTGGAGAACTTGATTCCCTTCGGGGCACTGATTTAAGAGCTCAAGTTCAGTAAAGCAACCAGAGAAAGTCATGTCAAATGAGCACTGGTGATATTAAGCCAGAGAGGATGTGGGGAAGTGAGGGGGGAGGAGGGGTAGGGTGATAACCATTGTTTTCAAATTCCCAAGGGGCTATGATTTTGAGAGGCTCTTACCAGCACAGTGAAAAGTAGGTACACGAAGGACAGTGTTTGGCTTTGTATATAAACTAACACCCAGATCTTAATCAACCTGGAAGGAGCCTCTTCTCTCTTCCTGGAGGTGTTAAGAGTAGACTGAATGACCTGGTGAGGGCTTGCCGACAGGCTGCTTCATGCCCTGGGTGAGGAGCTGGACTAGATGGGGTTGTGATTCTCTGAGGTAAAAATCCCATCGTTTTCTCTGCCTCGAATCCTCCTCCTCTTACTGGCTTTGGAGACAAGGGGTGGGGGAGCCTTGTTGCAGTTTCTCCCTTCCCTCCTCCTGCAGCAGGAGAAAAATGAGGCCCCTGTTCTCCAAGAAGAGGCAGGCAAGAAGGAGTCGTTGCAGTCAGGTGGGTGTTGCAGACATCTTGCTGGGTAGGGAGTCAGGGGACGGCCGAAGGTGAGTCACCATCGCCCTCCTCCTCTCCCTTAACCTCCAGAGCAACAGCTGGCCCAGCTGACACAACAGCTGGCCCAGACGGAGCAACACCTGAACACCCTGATGGCCCAGCTGGACCCCCTCTTTGAGCGGTAAGCGGAGCGGTGCGTGGCAGGCGAGAAGTGGGGACACAGCCTGGGCAGCCTCTGAGGGCACCTGTCCACAGCGTGAGCACCCTGGCCGGAGCGCAGCAGGAGCTTCTGAACATGAAGTTACACACCATCCACCAGCTGCTACACAAGAGCGAGCCCAGCCAGGAGGTCCCAGAGCCAGGTAACAGGCTGGGGGCGAGAGCCTGGCAGGGGTAGAGACAAAGTATGTGAAACGGGAACACACCTCACAGAAGCATCTTCCCCTCACAGAGGCTGGCGTGCCCTTTCCTGAGCACTCGTGTGTGAAGGAGGAAGACGAGGAGGCTGGTGACAGTCAGGCTGGGGAAGAGCCCGTACACTGGAGCACAGAGACAGGGAGCCCAGCCACTCCTTGGGGAGTGGAGCAGGGGCTCAGGAGGAGATGCAGCAAGACTGCGGCAAAGAGCCCCGGCCCCAGCCCCCTCTGGGGGGAAGGAGGGACGACAGCTGAAGGTTTAGGAAAGCCAAGTCTGTTCCTGTGATTGGATGCTCCAGTGTGCTTTTTGCATCCCAGCTGGTCACAGACACACACACCCATACTAGGTGCCTAGGAGCAACTGGCCCTTCTTGGAAAGCTTCCCTTATTAGGACAAAAAGACGTTGCCTCTCGGCGTGAGAGCGGAGAACACAGAGGGAGCTCCAGCTCTTTCCCATGTACTCCCGAGGCCCGTCATGCCAGCCTCCAGGCACAGACATCCCTTTGCTCAAACACACAGCTGAAACAGGCCTTTCCAAAGAAACAAAAACACTTTACTTACATCCAGTAGGAAAATAAAACTATAAAAATAGCCACATTTGCAAAGCTGTAGCCTTGATAAACGACCGGCCATACACGTAGCACCAAGCTTATCAGCCCCAAGTCCCCTCCTCTGTGCTGGAGGGGCTGGGTCAGTGGCGGTTCACATGGGTCAGACTTGCTTTCCTGATTCTTAAGAGCCAGGCAGATAACCCAGTCCCAGGCAAACACAAAACGACCCTCCTCAAAGCGCAAAGGGTTCTGTGTTTTGTTTAGTTTTTGTGCTCTTGACCCTGACCTATCCCGGAAGTATCCTGGGTTCTGGAATTCATAAGATTCTTCTAGTTCTTCTGGCTGCTGTGGAGAGAAGACAGTTCAGGCATCGGCATGAGCACTCTAGTCATAGCCTAATCAACTACGGGGTGGGGGAGGGGGGGGGTGTCCTGCAGATGTAGGACACTAGACAGGATCAGAGCTGCTCATCTCCTGCTCCTGGGCCTCATCCCAACACTCACCAAGGAAAGAGACAACCTACCTGATGGCCAAGGTCAGACTGTGGTACCAGCGCAACAGCTCCTCCCGGTCCGTGGACATAAGCAGTAGCTTCTCATGAGGGAAGGACAGCTGGGGAGAGACCACCTCTCAATGCAGGGCTCAGAAAGGTCCAGGCTAACGCCGAAGGCCTTGCTGCTCCCATGGGGTCATTGAGGACTCATGTGAGATCTGGATATGAACCCAAAGACCCAGTTATCCTCTCCCAACGTAGCTGGCCCACTTCCTACGACAAGAGCCCAGGCCGAGGAGATAAACAGGTGCACAGGTATTTGAGGTATATGCCGGGCCTCTCCCACCTTACCTAGGACTCCCATCTTATCACTTACGCTGAGCAGCCCACCACAGGGGCCCCCCGAGTGGCCAAAGACCCTTTGGAGGTGGCACTGAGCCATGGGGTAGACGGCCCGGCAGACAAAGGTGCCACTCTGCAGCAGGTGCAACGGGGGCCGAGGCTTGGCCATGACGAGCACGTCCGAGAACAGGAAGAACATTCGGGGCCGGGGTTCCCCGCGGGGAGGCACTACCAACAGCCAGCCCTGGCGCAGGAACCAGCGACCTGGGGGTGAGAGAGCTGTTCCTCTAATGCGGTTCCAGGACCATGACCCGTGGGCATAAAAGAAAAGGGAGGCTGAGGAAGCTGGGTAAGTGCTGGCAATCAATACAGCGGAAGAGCGGTAAGGCCAGGGCAGGCTGAGGGCCGAGGGGGAAGGACGCAGACTACCTGAGGTGAGCCCCTTTGCCCGGCGGCCGCTGAGAAGGGCCTGGACACGCCGGAGGTGCTGGCCATTCTTCTGTTTCTGACCGATGGCGTGGACTCTCTGGGCAGTGTCACTTATCAGCCGAGCGGCCCCTGGAAGAACATCCCCAGCCCCATTCCCAGCACATCTCTGACTCTGGGGACTGGGGGTGGAGAAAGGCTACTCCCTAAGGCCGTGGTCGGCAAACTGCGGCTCGAGAGTCACATGCGGCTCTTTGGCCCCTTGAGTGTGGCTCTTCCACAAAATACCACAGCCTGGGCCAGTCTATTTTGAAGAAGTGGCATAAGAAGAAATTTAAGTTTAAAAAATTGGGCTCTCAAAAGAAATTTCAATCGTCGTCCTGTTGATATTTGGCTCTGTGGACTCATGAGTTTGCCGACCACGGGCCTAGGGAACCAGGGTTCGGGTCTAGCTTGTTGAAGAGCAGGCAGGACAGAAGGAGCACCATGTACATGTCCAAGGAAGACAGGGTCATACCAGACATGGTTGGAGGTCACAACCCAAAAGGGATACAAGAAAGGCAGCCTCTGTCTGTGAGTTTTGGCAGAGCAAGAACATACGTGTGAGCTGCTGGTGGTCAGGGCTGTTGGGACTTGTGTTTTCAGCCAAAGCAACAACAAGGTTTTCATACCTAGAATTAGACAAAGTCTGTGAGGGGACGTGGAGCTGGGAAACATTCCCTCTGCCTGACACACACACCACCCCTTACACACACTTCCACAGCAGAGCCAGGAAAGCTCTGCTCCGGCTGTGTATCCCCTCCTTCAAAGCCTGGCCTCACCCTACATCACCCTTTCCCGTCCCACACTGAAGCGTCAGGAGCAGACTCCAGAAATTCCAAACTGGACCAGCCTCTCATCTCAGCAAATTCTTCCAAATACGGTGTCACTAGCCCCGTGGTCAGCAAACGGCGGCTCGAGAGCCACAGGCGGCTCTTTGGCCCCTTGAGTGTGGCTCTTCCACAAAACACCACGTGCTCTGGTGACTAATGAGTTTGCCGACCACCACACTAGCCCAGTACAAGCCCCCGCGCTTCAGGGTAGAGCTCCACAGTCCCAGCTGAGGGCCTGAGGCTGCAGACTCCAGGGACGCCAGTGGGTTCTCATTTACTCTTGCAAAAAGGATTTTGGGAGCAACTTGTCCCAGGAGAGAGGCATTGGGATAGACCCCATGAGTCCCACAAAGGCGAGAGACTCAGAGAAGCTGGCTGAGTTGGGGAGCGTTCACTCACTGCTGGAGCCTCTGCAGAGGCAGAGGGAGCAGGTCCTGGAGCTGCAGGCCCCCGAACTCGGGGCGGCCTTCCTGAAGCTTCACGAACCTCCGGAAACGTTTGCTTTTCTTCAGTTGTTCCTGGAGCGAGGGAAAAGGGTTGGCAGCAGAGAGAGAAGCACTCCCTTACATTGTGTGCACCTGTGTCCACATCCCCAGCCCTCAGCAAGCCGTGTGCTCCCAGGAGAACCCGTCTCCCTACAGGGAACTCGGCACAGCACTGGACACACAAAGGGCTCTATAAAGGCAGGGGCAGTGTGAAGTTTGGGTCTCCAGATGGAGAGGAAACGTATGGGGCAAGAGAGGCAGGACTTGAGATCACCTTCAGGTTACCTGCAGGGTGGTCTGGGACGTCTCGGCGTTGGCAGCAAACTGGGTGTAGAGCTCGAGGTGGGGGCAGAAGCCCTCCAGCCCCCGCCCCCAGTGCCCTCCTTCCAGGTGGGGAAGCAGCTCTCTGCGCGGGTGAAGACAATACACGAGCTGCCGAAGAACTGCTCAAGCACCTTTCATTCTTTTAGCCCTGACCCGTGGGTAGCGCTGTCACCCCGTTTTACAGACGGAGACCTGGGGCCCTGGGCCAAGGCCACAGGTGAGGTCACTCACTGGCAGACTCGGAATAGGAACCCGGGTCTCCCCGAGCAGCGCCAGAAGCCAAGGCTTGCTCGCTCGCTCGCTCCCTCTCTCCTCCCTCTCCCCGCGCCCCTTCCACTCACTGGCTGGCGCCGTAAATGAGCTCCCAGGGCCCAAACAGGGCCTGGCGCTCCGGTGGCCGCAGGGTGCCCTTGGCTCTCAGAATGCCCACGAAGTACTGCGGAGAGAGCACACGGGCATATGGTCTGCGGGAAGAGGCAACGCCAAGGCCATTTAGAGGAATAATAGGAAAAGCTAGAATCTGCAGAAGTCTGCCCAGCCCCCCAAATGCAGGAGGACAGAGCAAGACCCCGGTCCTCGGGGTCACCGACCTCGCAGAGACCCTCCCCCCCACACCCCGGGCTCCCCGCCCCATTCGAGAGGGCACGCGGGGCCCCCACCGTGGCCACCAGCCCCAGCTGCTCCTGGTAGCGCCGCTCGGTCTCCAGCAGCTCCCGGGCGGTGCAGGCGCGCTTCCGCTCCCAACGGGCACGCTGCTCTTGCACCGGGCACCGGGCCCCGGGGCCCGGGGCCTCCATGCCTAGCTGGCCGGCGGACATTTCCGGCCACAGCCCGCCGGAGATTCAAATGCAAACCGCTCGGGGGCGGGGCGGCGTGGAGGAGCGCGCCCCCTGGCGCCCGGAGGCTGCGCTCAGGACGGAGCATGCGCGGCGGCCAGCCAAGCAGCGTCTGTCTCCGCCAGGACCTCGCCCCGCCGCCAGGGCGGCGCTGTAGGTACGTAACGTCCGTCGGAGAACAGCAGAGTGGGGCAGGTGAGGAGCGCTCCTGAGTGGGTCTAACTGGGGCAGCGGCCTAGACTTTGAGCCGGCAGACTCGGGGGTGCAGGCACTGGCAGGGCCTGTGTCCTGTCGGTGGAATTGGGAAAGGCGCAATAGCTGCAGTACATATTCTGCACTGGGCCCATGCCGGATGGTGGGGTTCAGCCATTTCCAATGCTGCTTTACAATTAGGGACTCTCACTAGCCAAAAAGTTTGAAATATTTTGGCCTTCGGACAGAAGTTTACAGGTTTTTCCCGGCAGGCGGCTCAGTGGTTGAGTGTCGACCGACCTATGAACCAGGAGGTTACATTCCGGTTGGTCAGGGTACAGGTTGCAGGCTCAACCCCAGTGTGGGGTGTGCAGGAGGCAGCCAATCAGTGATTCTCTTCATTGATGTTTCTCTCTTTCTCTCCCCCTTACTTTCTAAATAAATATATATTAAAGAGTTTATAGGTTTTAAGTTACTTTGTTTCTTATTACAAAACTTTTTGCCAATTAGCTTCCAGTCAGCAGGTGTCAATAACTAACACAGTGGTTCTGAATTGCTTAATTATGGCCAATGGCAAGCCTGCAGTTGATTAGTCAGTGATACCTAGTCAAAGACAGTATGTAACAGGTTTTCCCTTGTTAGCTCTGGAGGGTCAATTGGCAAGTGCCTTTTTGTCTGCATGTATGCAAAATTTTAAAGTGTGCCTCTCTAATTGCCTAGCAATGCATTCTAAAGAAGTAGATACTTTGACAAAATTGTATGTGCCAAGATGTGAAGCACAACGTTGTAACAACTGATAACCTAAACGTCCAAAGGTAGTAAATTGGCTAGGAAAAATGTGGTACAGCCATTTGAAGGAATAATAGGAAAAGCATGAAAATGTTAAAAAGCTATCAACATAGAGAAAGGTACATAGTGTATTCCTGAGAGAACAAAAGCAGACTATACAGCTGTTTGCACAAGATGATCTCATTTATGTATAATACATATGACTGAAAGGATAAAACAGTGGTTTTTATCTCTGGTGATGAGATTGAGAATAATTCATTCATCAGATATTTATTAAAGACCTACTCAGTGCCAGGAACTGGACCATTGAGATTAAAGGGGTGGTGAATAGGACTTTTCTGCCTTTCCTAGGTTTTCTGCTTGAGCTTTCATGCATCACTTTGTAATCAGAAAAAAATATATTAAAAACTCTGGTTTTAGACAGACTTTAGACCCCATGCCTATTATTCTGGACTCCTAGGAATCTGGGCCCCACACCAAGAACCAAGTTACTGTCAGGGATCTGAGGTCTCCTCTAGCTCTCTGATATTTTAGACATTCTGAGGAAGGAAAAATGCTGGTCTTAGATCAGGGAGAAACAACTTAATAGGCTTGGTGGAGGAAAGAGAGAGTTTGGGTCAAACTGTACCTGGGAATGGGTCCTAAGGAGACTGGTGATACATATAGTGGGAAGCATGGTCTCAAGAGAAGGTGGTTCCATTTGCACTAAGATCTCAAGTGAGGAAGGGGACAGATAATCCCATGGTGATTGGTATCTCCCTGAGCCCCGTTGATGAGAACAGCATAGCACCTTGGGGTGCAGTGGTGGTGGGTCTGCTTTATAGAGCCTACTGTGAGTTCAGATGGGGGAGGAAGGAGAGGGAAATGTCGAGAAGACACAGAGTATAATTAGAGACACCTGATTTCCTGAAGACCACGTCTCTCCCAGAGCTAGTGAGGCACATCCCGTGGTCTACCCGGAACAGACAGATTCTCTCCTCCCAGCTTTATCCCCACAGCAAAAGGCAGGCAGGACCAGTGGGAGAAGGTCAGAAGGCCATCAACAACCTCTCTATTCTTTAATCACGCTCAACCTCTGCTCTCAGCTCACTGGATGCTGGAGAAGCCATAGGGATGCTTTGAACAACAATTATCAGTTATTACACAAAAACTAAATGCCTCTTATATGCCACATCCTGTGCTAGGCATGGAGATGAAACAATGGACAGTGAACTATGGCCTCTGCTGTTATTTATTTTTTTTAAAATACATATATATTTTATTGATTTTTTTTTTTACAGAGAGGAAAAGAGAGGGATAGAGAGTTAGAAACATTGATGAGAGAGAATCATCGATCAGCTGCCTCTTGCACCACCTCTACTGAGGATGTGCCCGCAACCAAGGTACATGCCCTTGACCGGAATCAAACCTGGGACCTTTCAGTCCACGGGCCGATGCTCTGTCCACTGAGCCAAACCGGTCTCGGCGCCTCTGCTGTTATTGATGCTGATAGTCTAGCAGGGCAGACATGGTAAGGAGTCACCATAAAGTGAGATAAAAATTACAAAGTATAGACTTTTATGCGGGCAGGGAAGGCTTCTTGGAGGAAGTAACAATGTGAATTGATACCTAAAGAATGAGTAAAACCTGGTGGAGCAGGGTCGGCAGTAGGGTAGAGGTGAGAGAGACAAACTGCATGAACCAAGTTTGGAGATCACACACACACACACATACACACACACACACACACACACACACACAGTGCATTCAAGGAACTGCTAGAAGTTCAGTAAGATTAAAGCATAGAGTGCAAAGGAGAGAGTGATGAAAAAGGAGACTGGAGAGAATGGAGGGAATTTAATCCAGTAAGACTATGTCATAAGTAATAGTAAACTCAAAGTGGCTAAATGATATTTTATTCGCTTCTGCAACTGAAAATCCAGATGCAGGTAGAGTTAGCTTAATCCAGCAACTCAATACTATCACCAGGGACTCAGGATGCTTATCAAGTAGGTGCTTATGGATCTGACGTGGAGAAGAGAGTCCAAGCCCGGGATACTTGTCTGCCATGAACTTGTAGAAACCATGGGAGTGGATGAAGCTGCCGACAAAGAATATGAAGAGGGATGAGGGCAGGAGGCATGAGAATTTCCAACACAAGCCCATTTCTTCTCATCCTGTGCTAACAATGGCTACCATCAGTTCTAACATGGCTAATGTTACAGGGGCTGAATGGTGGTCCCTGCAAAGATATGTCCGTACCCTGACCCCAGCAGCCTGCGGTTATGAACTGATTTGGAAAAGGGGTCTTTGCAGATGTAATTAAGTTAAAAATCTTGAAATAAAACCGTTCTGGGTTATCTTGGCGGCCCTCACCAATGGCGCATTCCGAAAAGGGCGCCGTGGGGAGACAGGGGGAAGGCCGTGGGAGCTGGAGGCAGTGATCGGAGTTCTGCAGCCACAAGCCCAGGAATTCCCGGAGCCGCCAGAAGCTAGAAGAGGCTCTAAAGCTTTCAGGAGGAGCAGGGTCCTGCCAACACTCTGATGTCAGATTTCTGGCTTCCAGGAGAGAGAAGTTCTGTTGTCCTGAGCCCCCCAGTCGGTGGCAGTTGGTCACAGAAGTCCCCATGATATAACACAGACGATGGGGTCGTCCTCGAGGTCCCAGGAGGGCTTTGGGCTGTCTTTGCCTCTACTCCATGGCTGGGGAGTGGGAGGCCTTTTCGCCTCCCCACCAGCGAATGGCTCCCTCCTCTGCCAACGGACCCTGATGACCAAAGACTTGGCCTTAAATAAGATTGTGCACCAGGTGGGGGAGGGGGCAGTCAATTAGTCCTGAGTACACTCTGTCCCACCCTGGGGAGGCTCAGGGAACAAGACTCTGGGAGCTCAAACCTGTTTTGGAGTTTGGCAGACTCCCAGCTCCGAAGGTCTGATCCCAGGTCACAGTCCACATTCCCCACCCAGACCACAGACATAGTCACACACAGAGACAGAGAGCTCAGGAGAGAGGCAGCACCAGGCAGCATGACATGGGGAGCTCCGATCTGGACTCTGAAATGCTGAGAGAAAGCAGCAGAGAGGGCAGGGGGACGTGTGGACACACAGAGAAATACACTAAGAGAGCCTGACAGAGACCTGAAGAGGAACAAGATGGAAACATTCATACTATTCGGAAAGAGGGGAAGTGAAATAAAGCTGGCAGCAGTGTTGAAGAAAGATGCCCAGACATAAGGACCCCAGACTCCAGTTAGCATGGTGTTTCTGTCTCCGGTGCTTCCCATGACCTCTTCCACCTCAACTAGATGGCTTGTTTCCACATTCCATCTTGTCCAGGTCCATTCAGTTTAGATATTGCCATGGACCTTCCATGTGTCAGGGGGCCACTAGGGTGCTAACAACACAGCTGACCCAATCAATGAGCTGACCATCCAGGGTGCACACTGGATCAAACTGCTACCGATGGAGGGCTCTTACTTTGGCTTCAGAAACTGCAATCTAGATGGTTAGACTAATTACTTTCTAGAATGTTTGCTTCAAGAACAGCTGTTGTTCAGCCATGTAAGTTAAAAAAAAAATTATATATATATATATATATATATATATATATATATATATATATATTATTGATTCTTTACAGAGAGGAAGGGAGAGAGATAGAGAGCTAGAAACAATTATGAGAGAGAAACATCGACAGCCGCCTCCTGCACACCCCCTACTGGGGATGCGCCGGCAACCAAGGTACATGCCCTTGACTGGAATCGAACCTGGGACCCTTCAGTCCTCAGGCTGACACTCTATCCCCTGAGCCAAACTGGTTTCGGCAGCCATGTAAGTTTTTGGTGTACAATAGAGCAGTCACTCTGACAAGGCATAAAATGGGGTGCCATAAAAATGCGGTATCATGTTCCTGGAACAGTTGTGGCTCAACATGCGCAGGTCATGGGCAATGAGCTCCTTTCCCCAAGGGCAAAGAAGTCAGCTTTAGTCAACTGGGTTTTCTCAAGTCCAGGCAAGGTGATCTGCCAAGAGCAAAATACTCAATAATAGCTGTTGAGTAAAAGAATGACTCAATCAATCAATCAATCAATCAAATACTAAGCCCTGCCTTCATGGAGCTAAGGTATCAGGACAGATAAAAATGTCATAAATCATCTTAATATGAATTAGATGGTGGGCAAGGTTATGAGCGAGGGCAGACAAAGCACTGTGGGGACTGAGGCACCAGAAATCTCTTCCTACAGGGCAGAGTTAATCAAGAAAGACTTCCTGGAAGAAGTGGCCTTTGAGCTGAGCCTTGAATAATAGAAGGGATTTAGACAGGGGAGATGGTAAAACTATTTAACATGGTAGCGGGTGCACAAACACTGATCCATCTGAGTGGGAGCTGGCTCAGGCATGCTAGTGGGAATCTGGAGCCCTGCTGTGATAAGAGGCCATGAGGAGCCGAAACTGGTTTGGCTCAGTGGATAGAGCGTCAAGCTGCGGACTGAAGGGTCCCAGGTTCGATTCCAGTCAAGGGCATGTACCTTGGTTGCTGGCACATCACCAGTGGGGTGTGTGCAAGAGGCAGCTGATAGATGTTTCTCTCTCATCGATGTTTCTAACTCTCTATCCCTCTCTCTTCCTCTCTGTAAAAAATCAATAAAAATATATTTTAAAAAAGAGGTCATGAGGAGGTTGGGAGAGTCCCCAGAAAGGAGCTGGGGTAGCAGGAGCACTCTGGAGTGAGGGGCTAGTTACCAACAGAATTAGAACTATCTCAATATGTTTAATTACCTTTTCCAATCATACAGATGCACAATACCTACTGAAGGTTAGTTTCCGTTATGAACCCTCTGAGATGGCCTTTCTGATTTGGTTTGTCGAAGCCATAGGGGCCTTACTGCAATGTGAGCTACAGAGCAGGAGAGCTGTTTCCGGTCCAGTGCTCTATCCCTGGGGCCTAGAACCGTACCTGGAGGATTGGAGGAGGCTCAATAAGTATAAACGAGTAGGCAGAGACTGGGAGCCCCAAGCCCATATTGGGGCCCTCTCATTTGTCTCCTAGCACCCACTCTCCCCCTCCACTCCATGCTCCACACCAGCCCTCAGCATGACCTAATATGGGAATTACATTCTGTCATTCTCCCAAAGTATTTGATGCCTCCCTTTTGCCCAGAGTACCATCCTCCCATTGTTATTACTGAATTAAACTTCTACTTCTTCACAGCCCTGACCACATTTTCCTACTTCTGTGTTACTCCCCGAGGAGTAACATCTCTCTCCCCGAAATCTTATGGTAGTGTTTGCCCTCACCCCCTATTCAGTGAGCTCCTCAGGCAGCAGCTGTGGCTCAGTGGTGCTTCTAGACCAGTGCCTGACATATGTTATATAGTGAATAAATATCTTTACCTATAAGGGTGAATGGCTGCCCTGGCCAGTGTGGCTCAGTTGTTGGAGCGTCTCCTGGTGCACCTGAAGGTTGCCGGTTTGATTCCCAGTTAGAACACATGCCTGGGTTGCAGGCTTGATTCCCAATAGGGGGCATACAGGAGATAGCCGATCAGTGATTTTCTTTCGTAGATAGTTCTCTCTCCCTTCCTCTCTCTCTGAAAAATCAATAATGGCGTGTTTTTAAAAAATCAATTTTTAAAAAATTTAAAAGATGTGAACGGCAGGCATTCCCAGTAGTGAGAACTACCGTATTTTCCGGCGTAAAAGACGACCCCCTAATTTTACAGCTAAAACATAGGGTTAGGCCTATATTCGCTGTATAAGACTACCCCCCACTTAAAAGAAAAGACTTACTTTGCCATCAATATCTGCAGGTAATTTTTGTGCAATTTTGGTCTTTTGCCCCCTATTTTCGGTTGACTTTTTTTCGGTTCAAAAGTCGTCTTATACGCCGGAAAATACGGTATATGAAAGAAGGCGGTTATTTTTGGGGGGGAATTAATGGTTTAATGTGGCTGGAATATGAGGGGCAGTAGGAAAAGATAAGATGGGAAGGTATGTTGGGTAAGATTTTGCAGGGATGTGGGAGTCAGCTAGAGGGAGAAGATAGGCAGATGGAAGATACTTTGATAGACGGTAGGAAGTCAATGAGAGTTTTTGAGCAGAGGTGTAACATGATGAAAACCAGGTTTACTTTAAGCCCATCAGAGTCCCTCTCACACATGTACTCAGTGTTCCATTCATGCTCAAATTAACCTCCCACCTACCCCACCCCCTTCCCCAGTGCTCCTGAGACAGCTCGCCCTACCCCTTTCCCTGCTCCCTGGCTGGTAAGGTCTGTTCCCCTCTCCCTGTCTTTCCCCTTCCCTGCCTGGGGCTGGGAGGCAGGCCAGGGTTAGCTGAGGCTGGCTGGCAGGCAGCCTGGTGGTGCCAGGGAAAGCCTGGGCAGTGCCAGGTGGTGCCTTAAGTGCCAGGCTCACACCATGACCCCGATAACCTTGTGCCTGCGCACACACCTGCCCTCACCCCACCCCGATCCGGGCTGTGGTACCGGGGAGGGGGGCACAGGGCCAGGCAGAACGGAGGGACTTTGGCTCCATCCCTGCAGAAGGGCGCTCTGTGAGTCAGCCTGCTCCCCTCCAGGCTTGCTCCTCCCCCACCCAGCTCCTGTTTCCAATGCACGTACACCCCGTACACACCGTGTCTGGGACGCAGTACCGCCAGCCACATGGCTCCCCTGTGCCCCAGCCCCTGGCTCCCCCCGCAGATCTCAGCCCCTGCTCCAGGCCCCGCCGTGCAACTGCTGCTGCTCCTGCTGCTCCTGGTCCCTACCCATCCCCAGAGCCTCTCCCGGATGCAGCGGACTCCCTCCCTGGGAGGAGATTCCTCTGGGGAAGATGACCCCGTGGGCGAGGAGGACCTGCCCAGTGAGGAGGACACACTCTCTGCAGAGGAGGACACACCTGGAATGAAGACTGAGCCAGAAGAGGGCTCTCTGAAGGTGGAGGATCTGCCCACTCCCGCTCCCAGCGACACGCACAGGCACAAAGGTAAGGGGTCCTCAGCCCTCCAGGTCTAGGCTCCGGGCCTGTGCTTCCTTTCACCCAACTCCCGCCCAGGCGGGGACTCTTCAGGGGAGAGCGGCCTGTCCCCTGCCAGGGGCCTTTCCCAGCTCTCCCCCTTTCAGAGCGAGAAGGGCATGGATGGGGAGACAGAAAGGAGGCCCAGGTGGAAAGAGATAAGCAGGAAGAGGTGGGAAAGAAAGGGGAAGGTTGGAGAGGAGAAAGATACTAGACACATGAGAAGAGAGAACACGCAGGTAGAGAGGAGTAAGAGGGTGAGGGGAGCGAAGAGGAAGGGGGGGCTCCGGAGGAAGTGCGGGAGGGCCTGTGGAGGCCGCCTCGTCTTCAGGCTACAGGTGAGGACCCGGACCTAGGAAGAAGGAAGTGCCAGGAGGGGCCCTGGTATCGTGACTCCCAAGCCAGGAACTTTGGGGGGGAAAAGAGTTGGAGACCAGAAAGGAAAGAGGGTTGAGTGGGGAGGAGGGACAGGTAAGGGAGAAAGGAAAGATGCTCTATTGATTTGGGCCTGGGCCTGAGTCCCCATCCCCCTTCCTAGCCCCTGCCCCCCTCCCCCCATTTTACTAGCACAGTGGCTGCAAACTGGTGGGCCAGTGGGATCTCAGCTGTAGGCCTTCTGTCACCCACCGAGCCTCTGTAGGCGCTGGGTTTGTGGAGCCCGGCTGGCGAGGGGGGCCGCCTCGTCCTGGTCAGGGGGGGGGGGGGGCGGTCTGGGCTCCAAGGTCTCACTCCTGACCCTTCTCATCACACAGGGGACGACCACAGCCATTGGCGCTACGGAGGTGAGTCAACCCCTTTCCTGCCCCCCCAGCCCCCGACCCAATCTGGGCACCCACCCCTGCTGATCACTGAACTCCAGCCCTGGAAATCCCACCCACGGCATCCACACCTGCCCCAGTGTCCTGGGACTCCACCTCTCCGCTTTCATTCCCGAACAGTGCTTCCCAAACTGCTCTCAGGATGAGAATCACCTGGTGGAGTTGTTAAACTACAGATTCCTGAATCCCAGCTAAGAAGTGCTAAATTAGAATTTTGGGGAGCATATAGGTAAAATGGTATGCTTAACTAGTGCTCTCTGTCTCAGAGCACTAGTCTAAGACAAGTTAAGTATACTAAGAGCACTAGTTAAGTCTACAATTATCTAAGTTAAGTATACTAAGAGCACTAGTTAAGTATACCATTTTACCTATATGCTCCCCAAAATTCTAGTTTAGCACTTCTTAGTTGGGATTCAGGAATCTGTGTTTTAAGAATTCCACCAGGTGATCCTCATCCTGAGAGCAGTTTGGGAAACACTGCCCTCGAAGCTCCTGATCGCCTCCCTGGACTTCCTGTTCATCCTCTCCCCCTCCCCGCAGGCGGCCCGCCCTGGCCCCTGGTGGCCCCCTCCTGCGCAGGCCGCTTCCAGTCGCCGGTGGACATCCGCCCGGAGCGCGCGGCCTTCTGCCCCGCCCTGCGGCCCCCGGAGCTGCTGGGCTTTGAGCTGCCGCCGCGCCCGGAGCTGCGCCTCCGGAACAACGGCCACACCGGTGAGGGGGCCGGGCCTCGGGCGGGGGCGGGGCGAGCCGGGGCTGGGGACGCGGGGCATGGGGCAGAGGGGCAGTCCCTGGGATGCCTGGGCAGTGTTTCCCAAACTTCTCTCAGGATGACAATCACCTGGTGGAATTCTTAAAACACAGATTCCTGAATCCCAACTAAGAAGTGCTAAACTAGAATTTTGGGGAGCATATAGGTAAAATTGTATACTTAACTAGTGCTCTTAGTATACTTAACTTAGATAATTGTAGACTTAACTAGTGCTCTTAGTATACTTAACTTGTCTTAGACTAGTGCTCTAAGACAGAGAGCACTAGTTAAGTATACAATTTTACCTATATGTTCCCAAAAATTCTAGTTTAGCACTTCTTAGTTGGGACTCAGGAATCTGTAGTTTAACAACTCCACCGGGTGATTGTCATCATGAGAGCAGTTGGGAAACACCGTGCTTGGGGATGGATTGGGCTGGCTCTCAGGGCTGGGCCGGAGCCCGCTCACCTGCTATCCCTCCCTCGCAGTGCAGCTGACCCTGCCTCCGGGGCTGCAGATGGCCCTGGGCCCCGGGCGGGAGTACCGGGCCCTGCAGCTGCACCTGCACTGGGGGGCTGCAGGCCACCCCGGCTCGGAGCACACGGTTGGCGGCCACCGGTTCCCTGCTGAGGTGAGCAGCAGCAGCAGCAGCAGCAGCAGCAGAGGGGCGAAGGGGGGCGCTGGCGAGGGGAGCGTGCCCATTCCTACCCACCTGTCCTCTCCAGATCCACGTGGTGCACCTCAGCACGGCCTTTGCCACAGTGGACGAGGCCTTGGGGCGCCCAGGGGGCCTGGCCGTGCTGGCCGCCTTTCTGCAGGTAGGAGCCCTGGATGTCCCCCCACACCCGTCCTCCCCATGTCCCCAGGCTCAGTGTATTTCCCCCCAGAGACCCATCCGAGCACACTCACCCTGGCACCTGCTTATCCTCATTCACTCATGAGTTCATTCATTCAACGCCACTCTGAGGGAGGCATTGGGCCTAACAAAGGATTCAGAAACTGTGGGTCCTTGTCTCCAATGAGTCCACAGCCAGTGACCGGCGGCCCATAGGTAGACATACACAAAGGACAGGGTAAAAGAGGTGGTCAGGGAAGGCTTCTCGGAGGAGGCGACACTTGAAGGCTTCACCAGTGGGGAAGAAAAGATGTCCCTGCAGAGCAAATGGTATGTATGTGCAAAGACTCGGAATATGGCCCCCTCAGGGAATGACAGATGCAGTAAAGTGGGCATCAGGAAGAGTAATATCTTTAATGCCCCCCTAACAATAATATCCCCGCTGTGAAATGCAACCAGGTCTCAAGAAACATTTAGTGACCTCTTTTCCTTGGCCCAGTAATGATTAAGACTACATGCACAGTGATTAGGGGAAGCTGGTAAAATGAAGAGAGAGACCTTGAGACACGTGCCAGGCTCATTCACACCCTAACAGACTCCTTCATGCGAGCCTCACAGCACAAAGTTCAGAGACGGGCCTCAGAGAGAGCATGCGCTGGCTCCGAGACAATCACATGGATTGTTAGGGTGGATGCAGAGGTAGCGTGAGTGAGTACAAAGGTCGTTACGGTTCTCAGGAGTGGGGCCCAGGGCATGCAGGCCTTGTGTCTTAGTGATCCACCCTCCTCCGCCGCCGCCTCCTCCCATTTGCCATTGCAAGCCAGCCTGCAGAGCTTGTTGGGTTAGTTTGCAGAGTAAGTCAACTCTGAGTAATAATGCCTGAGATTTTGTGTTTCCTCCGGCATTCTCAGAGCTGAGCAGTGAGGGAGGACTCTGGGAACCCGCCTCACCTTCAGGCCTCTCACCCTGGCCCTAGATTCATGTGTTACCTGTCCTGCCCTGCCACCTCCTAGGAAGGCCCGGAAGAGAACGGTGCCTACGAGCAGCTGCTGTCTCATCTGGAAGAAATCGCTGAGGAAGGTAAGGAGGTGGGGCTCTCCTGGGAGCGGGCTGATGTGTGAACTGGATGACTATGATCTTGATGACAACGATGAAGTTGAACAGAGGCAAACTCGCAAAGGCAAACTTCTGCCCACAGGTTTTACAGTTTAAAAACCAAACACCGAGCCAAAACCGGTTTGGCTCAGTGGATAGAGCATCGGCCTGCGGACTGAAAGGTCCCAGGTTTGATTCCTGTCAAGGGCATATCATTGGTTGTGGGCGCATCTCTGGTGGGGGATGTACAGGAGGCAGCTGGTCGATGATTCTAGCTCTCTATCCCTCTTCCTTCCTCTCTGTAAAAAAAATCAATATAATATATATATATATATATATATATATATATATATATATATATGAAATTTGGGGAAGGTACTGGAATTTGCTCTTAAAAAATAATAATATAAAAAAAAATAAAAACCAAACACCGCATAAAAAAACAAAATAAAACAAATACCAAATAAGACCAAAAAGTTTGGAACTTCTGGGGTTGAGTCTGGGGAGCTCAAATTTTTCTGAGAACTAGCTATTCTTCGTAAGCATCACACATTTTTTTTTTTAAATATATTTTATTGATTTTGTACAGAGAGGAAGGGAGAGAGAGATAGAGAGTTAGAAACATCGATGAGAGAGAGTCATCGATCAGCTGCCTCTTGCACACCCCCTACTGGGGATATGCCCGCAACCAAGGTACATGTCCTTGACCGGAATCGAACCCGGGACCCTTCAGTCCCCAAGCCGACGCTCTATCCACTGAGCCAAACCGGTCTCGGCGCATCACACATTTTTATGTATTAATTCATTCATTTATCTATTTATTATTTCTTATTGAAAGGCTGCAAGGCTCGGAAGTTCAGGTGTAGCCAGGAGTCTGCAGGGCCCCACAGGGAATCCGAGAGGGTGTGGAGCTGGGGAGGTCAGAGAGGAAGGGAGAGGGAGAGAGAGAGAAACATCAGTGGAGAGAGGATCATTGACCGGCTGCCTCCTGCACACCCCGCCGGGGAGCAGCTCGGGCGCCGTTCTCTCCCCCTGCCGGGTCCCGAGCCCTGTGCTTTCTCCTGCGTCGTCTTGTGCCGCGTGTGGGGAAGGGACGCACTTAGTGAGGCAGCGGTCTCGGGGAACTGAGTCAGCTTGGCTTCGCGATATGAAACTGTGTCCCTAGACCCAGGGCTTCGGAGGGGGCCGTCTAGGTGAGATCCCAGCGCAGGCCCTCTCCGCAGACTCAGAGACTCAGGTGCCAGGACTGGACGTGTCTGCACTGCTGCCCTCCGACCTCAGCCGCTACTTCCGATACGAGGGGTCTCTGACCACCCCCCCCTGTGCCCAGGGGGTCATCTGGACTGTTTTCAACCGGACAGTGAGGCTGAGTGCTAAGCAGGTGGGGGCGGGGACATGTGGGGATGCGGCGGTGAGGGGAGGTAGGAGAAGGGGTCTGGAAAGAGGAGGCTAATGAAAGGGCATGTGGGAGAGGGGGTGGGGGCATGGAGGGTGGAGACCTGGGGCACCATCTGTGAATGGGCCTTTAATCCGTTTCCTCGTCTCCCTGGCCCTCCTTCCGCTGTCCAATGACCTCCACAGCTCCACACCCTCTCGGACTCCCTGTGGGGGTCTGAGGACTCTCGGCTGCAGCTGAACTTCCGGGCCACGCAGCCTCTGAATGGGCGCACGGTGGAGGCCTCCTTCCCTGTCGGAGCGGAGCGGCGGACCGCTGAGGCTGTCCAGCCAGGTGTGGCTTCGAACGGTGTACCAGCCACAGGTCTGTCCTCCTCCCAGGCGCCCGCCTCTGTCTGCCACTGGTGCTCACACCCCGGCTCTAACGTCTCCCTTTCCTCTTCAGTCCACCTGAGCTCCTGCCTGGCTGCCGGTGAGTCTGCGCCTCCCCTCTGGCCCCTGACGCTGGGACAGCCCTTGGCACAGCTTAGTCCCAGGGGCTGGTGAGGGTCATGTCCACTGCCCTTCCTTTTCTGCAGCACAGACCCCCAAACCCATGGGATAGAGCATTGTTTCCCAAACTTTTGACATATGTGCACCCCTTCTATAATTTCCATAACGCTGAGTACCCCTCGTACTCATGAGAATGTAGAATTTGGCGCAGCTAAGCACACTGCAGTGCAAATCCCCACGAAACTCTTCCCGTACCCCTGGGGGTACGCGTGCCACATTTTGGGAAACAAACTGGGCTAGAGAGTCAGATCACAGTGGGGGGTTTTTTATTGGCAAGAGTTGGTCAGAATGAAGCTCCAAAAATCTAGCAGGTCCTTTCCCAATGACCTCTTTTATGTCATTGTTTAGGGAGGAAAAAAGGTGCATGTGTCCCCCCTTCTTGTGTATCCATCTCCATCCCTTTACTGGTCTCTCGTAGATTCTAACGGGCAGCCGGAGAACGTAGGGCTGGTTGGGGACACAGGCATAGGGAAGTAGGCCCTGCGGGAACCCTCCGGGCTCTCACCCCGAGGCAGTCCCTGCTCTCCCTACAGGTGACATCCTGGCCCTGGTTTTTGGCATTCTCTTTGCTGTGACCGGCATTGCCTTCCTTGTGCTCCTTGTGCAAATGAGCAGGCGGCAAAAGTACGTATGGTCCTGACCCTGTCCCTCAGGCACAGCCCCCACTTCCTGTGTGGAGTCCAGAACAGCTTCATGCAAACTGCACACAAAGGAACTGGTCCTGGGCCAGTTTTCTGATTAGGCTTCCCTGTCCTGTAGACATCCGAGCGGCACCAAAGGGAGCGCCGGCTACCACCCAGCAGAGGTCACCGAGACTGTGGCCTAGAGGCCGGGAGCTTGGAGAATGTGCGGAGGAGCCAGCGGAGGGATCGGAGGGGAGCTGGAGACTTTGGTCTGTCCTGCCTGTCACATCACTTCCTTTTTCATCACCCAATATTTTTGTAAAAAATAAATGTTTCTAATAAAATATGTGGAAGGTAGCTTTGTTCCCCAAATCAGGAGAGTGTATCCATTTCCCACCGCTGCCATAACAGATGATCACAAACTCGATGGTCACGTGCATTTATTCCTTTAGACTTCTGGAGACGAGAAGTCCAAAATGAATGTTAAGGGCTAAGGTCCGGGTGTTGGCAGGCCTGGACGCTGATGAGAGAATGTTTCCTTGCCTCTTTCAGCTTCTAGAAGCCCAGCATTCCTCAGCTGGCGGCCCCGCACCACATTACTCCCTTGTCACACCTCCCGCATCCACTCATGACCTTTCCGCTTCCCTCTTCCGTGGACCCTTGCGATTCCATGGGGCCTAGTTAGATAACCCGGATAATCTCCCGTCTCAAAACTCTTAGCTTGACCACAAGGTTCCTTTCCCATGCAGAGTAACATTTCACAAGATTTGGGTGTGAACATCTCTGGTGGTGGGGGTCATTCTGCTCTCAGGAAGGGGACAGAAATGACCGAGATTGTTGAGATGGTCATGTGGGGTGTGTGTGTGTGTGTGTGTGTGTGTGTGTGTGTGTGTGCGCGCGTGCGCATGCACACGTGTACGCATATGTAGACCAGTGTGTGTCACCGGGAGTAGGGCAGGCTCATTGTCTCGGCTTAAAATCACTTTGAGGCTTTGGGGCTTTCCCCTGCTCCAGTAAAATCTGTGTAGCTTTGCAGTTTTGTCTCAGATTATGTTGTCTGGCTCGGCCGCCTGCTGGAAGGGGGCCGTGGTGCTGACAGCAGCTCCTCTGCCCTTTGGGGAGTAAAGGCCAGGATGTAACCCCAGCCCGACGGGCCTCTCTGCTCCACACGGCCTGCTCACCCCCCCTCCTAGCTGAGCACAGCACCCCCACCCCTCGCTGCCATCAGAAAGGAAGTCTTGTCCCAGAGCAGAGAACCAGGCCCTGCTCCTCAGGGGCCCTTCGGACTCCATCGCTCCCCTCAGGCATCACCTCAGCCTTCTGCACGCTGGAAAACCACCACCACCACTGCCAACACGAAAGAAAGGCTTATCGGGCCCTGCGATACCGGCAACATCAGCTTTATTGTGCTGGGGCGGCACCCAGAGCCCGGCTGGAGGCGGGGCCAGCCTCACAGGTTGTTGAGTTCCAGCAGCGTCTGGTCGAGGGTCTGGTGAATCTCCACGTTCTCCTCCTTGGCACTGGCCAAGGTCTCTGTGAGAGGAAGCAGCACATGAGGAGGGGAGGGGAGACACGAGGGGAGAGACACGGGAGGCATGGACAGGGGGGTGACAGACAGACATGGGGCACATGTTGGAGGCACATGAAGACACAGCATTCAGGGATCTGGGGACCCCAGGGAAGGGGCAAATGGGGGAACTGACCAGGACAGACAAGGATGCCTCACTCAGGACTCTGGGGTCATGGCGGTAGGATGGGAAGGCCTAAGTCATAAACTAATTTACCATTCTTCTTTAGAAGGTTTAAGAGAACTGGAAACAGAAGGAAGGACAAAGATTGAGCCAGGAAAGAGAGGGATAGACAGACAGACAGACAGACTCAAGGCAGAAAACAGACCTGCAGTGAAAACCCCACGGTTGCTGGCATCCAACGTGTTTCCAAACTTCATCTCAGACCTTTCACAACCTTCTCACCCCTCCCCTGCACGTCACCACCCCATTTCCCTCCCGGTCATTCCTTGAGGTCCTGGAACCCCAGCTTAGCGCTCCAAGGTGAGTGGCGGGCCTGGGCTGCAGAGGCACCGGGGAGCTCAGGGTGACAGATGGTCATACCATGCCCACATGCAGCGGTGACAGGGACAGGCGGTGCGTGCCATGCAGAGGGGGTTTTGGTGTGGGCCACAGAGTTTTGTGGGTGTCACAAGATTGGGGTGCCTATAAGAGCCAAGGTCTCAGCAGTGCTCTTGTGGGGGTAAAGGAAGTGCTCTCAGGAGGACAGGAAAACAGCACGGAGACCAAGTTGAGTTTATTAAGCAGCAGAGAGAGGTAGAGGCTGGAGAGGGTGGAGTGATGGGGAGAAGGAAGAAGCAAGTGCCAGGGTGGGCAGCACGTGTGATGGCTGTGCAGTGTTGGCAATTTCTCTCCTCCTGCCTGATCCCTCCTCGGAGAGAGAATAGAAAGGAGAGGAGAGGAGGGGCCGAGAGGGCCACACTGGTGAGGGGCTCAGAGAGAGGTGATGTCGTTGAGCGCGTTGTCCAGTTCCTCGCTGATGGCCTTGTACTTCATCTTCTGCGCATAGACTTCGTCTGGAGGGGGTCCAGGGGTGGGTGGGAGTGTGGGGAGAGGGAACAGAGGGGAAGAGGAAAGGCAGGAGAGAGGATAATGGAAAGAGAGAACGAGAATCAGAAAGAGGCGGGCAAAGACGAATGAGAGAGGCCACAGAACAGGCTGGACAGTCCTCAGGGCTCCCTCCTCCCTTCTCGGTACCCCTGTCTCTTTTGTCCTTCTCTGAACCCTAAATTGGTTCTTCTACCAAGAGGTGCTGCCTCCTCTGGGGACCCGGGGGCACAGTGCTTTTGATAGGCAGGAGTGCTCGCTTCAAGTGAAGAGCGTTCAAGCCAGAAAGACTTAAAGTCTTACAAAGTGGGAGGTAAGACGGAGGCCTGCCTGAGAAGGCTGGACGCAGGAGAAATTGGAATTGTGAAAGTGAAGGCTTACAGGCAGGAAAGTCAGTTCTAGGCGCGGTGTTGGTGACAGTAAGAAACAGCCTTAGCCTAGCAAACACCTGCATGATTGTTTACACCAAATCTAGCTTAAAGTCGTACTTTACATCACCGTCGTCTTGCACACCTAGATATTAAACCAAATAGCTCTCTGTGTCATAAAGACATCTCTGTGATATGGCTCTACTGTGTTGCCCTTGGAGACGGGACTTGTCTACAACAGTGCTACTCAAAGTGTGGTCCGAAGACCCATCAGCAGCATCAGCGTCGCCAGAGAGAGCTTGTTAGGTGTACAAATTGTCCCGCCCAAAGGCAGCCATCATTTCGGAGCAGGACCCAGAAATCTGCCTTTTGAAACCTCTGGGGCATTCCCAAGCATGCTCCAGTGTAAGCACCAGAGGGGTAGCTGTTACAAGTGTTTACCCGGTGGGCACTGGGCACCGCAGTGTGTGGGGTCTCAGGTGGCACAACCCTCGTTTACCGGTCACAGATATCGTGGGATGTGGAGAAAAGGGGTGAGCAAACAGCCGCAGGGAGTGCAGTTTGGGGGCGGAGGGGCGACCTCCTTTACCTTCCAGGTCATCGATGGTTTTCTCCAACTTGGCCACGGACCTTTCGGCAAACTCGGCTCGGGTCTCAGCCTGGGAGTGTAAAGGCAAGAGGCGGAAATGACCAAAGAGGCGGAAATGACCAGAGAGGAGGCCCTCCCAGATCCTATCCCTGAAGTCAACCTTTTCTTCTATCCCGACCTCCAGATCCCCTGCTCCAGGCAGTCTCTGCTGCGACTGTGGGGCTTGCAGGGAAGGTGGGGACTGGAAGGACTCTCACCTCCTTCAGCTTCTCCTCCAGCAGTTTGATCTCCTCTTCGTATTTGTCTTCTTTGGTGGAGTACTTTTAGGGACACACACACGCCATTAGTAGGTTGCCTCCACAGATCCTTCATGTCTCCTCAGCCCCGCAGGCGACTCACGATCTTGTCTCCATGGCCCATCCAGCCCCGCCCTGCCTGGGCCCGTCGCCTCCCTCCCCTGCAGGACCCCGTCCTCACTGCCCCTCTGCCCCCCTCTACCTTGTCTGCTTGGGCTTCCAGGGATTTCAAGTTGTTGGTAACAATTTTCAGCTCCTCCTCTAGGTCCCCACATTTACTGCAGGGGGTGTGTGGCGGGGTGGGGTGTGAGGGCACAGTGGGGGCAGACGGTGGAGACGGCACAGTGGGGGGAGGGGGAGGAGAGAAGAGAAGAGCAAAGTTGTGAGAGTGACAGCAGGCAGCGCTCGGAGGCCCCAGGCCCTTCCCGACCCCCAGCGGACGAGAGAGCAGCCTGAGATGGAGGGGAAGGTGAGATGAGAGAAGGCGCTATTGCCAGAAAGGTCCAGAGAGGTCACTACCTCCTCCTCTGAGGCTATCAGGGACTTGAGGGCCTGGTCCATGGTTCGAAGTTCCTCCTCCAGCTGCCTGGCTCGGCTGGGGGCAGCGGGTAGGGGTCAGGGGACAGGACCTGTCCCTATGGCCCCAAGTCTTGAGAAGCTGCTTCCCCACGGTGCAGAGTGCTCCACAGTCATGGGCTCAGGCTAAGTTTCACTCCCACCCCAGGGCAATCTTACCTCTCAGCCACCTCAGCTCTTTCTTCCGAGCGCTCCAGCTCCCCTTCCAGGATCACCAGCTTCCTGGCCACCTGAGGTGAGGCAGGAGAGAGAAGGAAGAGATCCCTGGTGAATGACATGACGGGGAGTGGTGGTGGGGGGAGTACGGGGTGGGTTGTGGAGCCTGGAAGTGAGAAGGAAGTGGAGCAGGGCTGTCACCTCCTCATATTTGCGGTCTGAATCCTCAGCGATGTGCTTGGCCTCCTTCAGCTGCATCTCCTGCAGCTCCATCTTTTCCTCATCCTTCATGGCTCGGTTTTCAATGACCTTCATTCCTCTGAGAGGCAGAGAGTGGGGTGAGGGTTGGGGGTGGGGGTCAGGACCAGCAGAGACAGCATCCCCCTTTCCTGGCTCAACCCTCAGGACCCCCTGCCCACCTCTCGCTCTCATCAGCTGCCTTCTCAGCTTCTTCCAGCTTTTGCAGGGCGGTAGCGAGACGCTCCTGAGCCCGGTCCAGCTCCTCCTCTACCAGCTGAATGCGGCGGTTCAGGGAGGCCACATCTGCCTCAGCCTATGGGTCAAAGGTGAGAGATCAGACAGGCTTTGTCTACCTTGGATGAGGATCAGGGAGGTTCCCGAGGATGGTAAGATTTTTTAAAAAAATATATATTTTTATTGATTTTTTTACAGAGAGGAAGAGAGAGGGATAGAAAGGCCAGTCAAGATAAGGGAGTGGGGAAGAATCAGGCCAACCTAACATAAAGCTGCCAAAAATAGCCAATCATAGATTCAAGCTCAAGTGATGTCATCAGTTGCTAAGCAGATTCCCAGCAAGGGGCCTGGAGGAAAGCCTATATGGGACATCCAGGGCTGTAGCAAGGGGTTCCCTGGCAAGATGGAGAGGCAACTGGGGGCAGTGCAAGGGCAGTGTGAGTGACGGACACTCAGACACTGATCCTAAAATACAGCGACAAAACATGGAGGCTTTGGAGAAGTTCCATGGAAACTTGATATCTTGAGAAAAAGAGAGGGCAGAGCAAGAAGGAAGGGCTCCAACAAAAGAAAATGAGAGAAGCAGTCTAGCTTGGAATTAAGAGTGTCGGCTCTGAGTTGACTCTTCTCTTGGAGCCACGGCTCAGCCACTCAACACTTGTGTGATCTTGGGCAATCTACTTAGTCTCTCTAAGCCTCAGTTTTCTTTTAAAATCCCAGTTGACAATAGCAGATCCTTCTTCATAGAATGTTAATCAACAGGACAATTGGGGCTTATATAACTAAACAGGTTCTCTAGCTCCTTGCTAGATCCACTAAATGGAGAGCTCCAGGGCAAGAACTAGAAAATCGCCCTCTCCCCACCTTTTTAAAAAAAGCTCCTAAGCAATTCTGATGATTTGGGGGAAATAAAATAATATGCAAACAGCACGTGAACACACTGCCTACCTTTATGGTGTGTGGACACTTATGCAGAGTCCACACACCATAAATGTTACTAATCCCTGGTGCTTCCTCGGTCACAAAGATATAGGGACTCCGACTTTTAAGACTGGAGAGGAGAAAGGATCAGTGCAGGGTCATAGTCGGCAAACTGCGGCTCTTTGGCCCCTTAAATGTGGCTCTTCCACAAAATACCACGGCCTGGGCGAGGCTACTTTGAAGAAGTGGCGTTAGAAGAAATTTAGGCTTAAAAAAATGTGGCTCTCAAAAGAAATTTCAGTCCTTGCAGTGTTGATTATTTGGCTCTGTTAACTAACGAGTTTGCCGACCACTGGTGTAGGGGAAGAAGTGAGTGAGAGGGAAGAGAGGGGTGGCAGCCCTGGGGACAGAGGGGTGGAACGCAGGTGCTGGTGGTACTGGAGGGCGAGGGAAACAGCACCATATATAGAAGGTGGCAGCTTGTCCTCCAGGTGCTGAAGGCCACCTACAGCGACAAGAGCCCATCCTGGGCACGGGGCCGGGTGACTCAAAGTGGAAGGCCTCTGGGAACAGCACTGGGGGTTGGGAACCATGACATGGGGAGGCGGAAAGGGAGGGGGAGGTAAGGAGGGGGAGCCGACTCTAGAGAAAGATGAGACTCTGAAAGGAAAAGTCTTCGTGACAGTGGGGTGACAACTCTGGGAAGTCCTGGGATCCTCATGACAGGACTGACATTTACCGTTTTCTGCTTTTCAAGCTCTTCTTGGTTATGGATGCTGCTTTCTAACAACAGCCTGGCACTGCTGTCCCCACTGGACAGACAGAGAGCAGGAAAGAAGGGAGACGTGGAGGGAGGAACGGAGTATGCGAAGCATTGTGTTCAAGGTCACAAAATAAGTTTGGGCAGTTTCCTTTCTACCCCTGGCTCCCTGGCTCCCCGGCTCTGTCCCTGTCCACCCTCTTCCCTCCAGCCCCCACCCAGCTCCTTGAGCTTCCAGTCCTGCCTCCAGCTGCACTGGGCCTTGGCTATTTATAGAGTATCAGATGCCCAGGGTTGTCTTTGCTAGCAGCTGCGGGCCAGTTCCCTCCCAAGTGCCAAGGCTGGTGGAGAACCAGAACCAAAGGCTGGAGGTCAGAGAAACCAGCCCCGGGTGGGCATGAGGCGGGGAGGAGGGATGGGGAAACATGGATAATGGTCAACACAAGCAGGAATGCCATTTCCGATCTCACATTCAGACCAGGCTTATGCTAATCCCCTCCCATCCCACCACACACACATCAACAGGCTCATCCTAAACTTAAAGCAATCCTGGGTACAAGGCAAATGGGGAAACCGAGGCAGAGAATGGTCCGAGTAACCATATCCAGAGTCTTCTGACTATTATTCTCTTACCTCAAGGTGGGGGATTGGGAGTGGACAGGAGCTAGAGAAAGTCTGGTTAGAGAGTGGGGGGTGGGCAGAGACATCTGAGTGAGCAAGGCCTGCCTGCCAAAGCAGCTGTCCTGGCATGTGTGGTCCTGTCCCTCTGCCCTGTGGCCTGGCATGGTCTCGAGGCTGACAACTTAATGAGGGTAAATAAGGGGCCCCAGTGCAGAGCGGGGCTGCCGGAGCCAGAGGTCAGGGCCAGGGAATTTCTAGTGCCCCCCCAGGAGTGTAACTCAAGCCGGGCCCCGCTTTCAGCCTCCCCTCTCTCTCCCCCCTGCCTCACAGCGCCCAGACCCACCCCCCACAAATGTAGCTGCAGGCTCCTCTCCATGTTCGGCTGCGGGATTAACCGAGGTGGATGGTGAATTCTTGTGCCGCCCACCCCCACGATGATGACTCACGGTCTGATCACTGTATGTCGGAAGAGCTGGAGCCAAATGGAATTACAAGGCTACGTCCTCTGAGGGAAGTGTGGTAGGTGGTTTTGATTTACCCACTGCCTGGGATTATTTGTGCAAGCTTGCCCTGGCCCGGGTTCCTGAGGGAAGACATTTCTGTCCTGGTGCTGGAATAGAGGGGCCCCTTCTCCCTTCACTCCCATGTCCAGGACCCCCCCTGCCCCCAGGTCCACACTCACATCGGTGGCCTTCTTCTCGGCCAGCTCCAGCTTCTCCTGGGCGTCCTTCACGGCCTCGGAATACTTCTCCACCTCATCCTCCGTCCCTTTCAGCTTCTTCTGGAGCGCCTGCTGCTCCTCCTCCAGCTGGAGAGAGAGAACCCGTCAGTCAGCCGGGCCCAGGGTCCAGGAGGAGGCAGGCAGGGGTGTGTGAGGGGGCACTAAGAGATTTAGAGGCTGTCAGGGAGAAAGAGGGGTCGCAGAGGAGAAACAGTGCAGCCAGGGGCATTGAGAGGGGGTAGAGAGAGGGTTTCCAGCCCCAAGAAGCAGGGCTCACCCTTGCTCTTCAAGGGGCAGGAGTGGACACTGGGGGACTGGGTACGGGGGTTATGGTGGGTATGGAGGTTCTATGGTGGGTACAATAAAGTCTGGTTCCGGCTAGGTCCCTAGGGGTCCTAGGAAGGTCCAACCCCGACTGGACGAGGAGAGAGCCTCAGAGAGCAGTCCCTTAGGGTAAGGGACACAGGGCAGAGCCTACCCCATCCTGGCTGGGGGTGCGGGTATATGGGTCTGTCCTAGGCCCTGGGTCCCCCCACCTGCTTGCAGCGGTCCTCCGCCTGCTTCTTGTCGGCCTCGGCCTGCTCGGCGCGGTCGATGGCGTTCTCCTTGTCCAGCTTCAGCATCTGCATCTTCTTCTTGATGGCGTCCATGGCTGCGGCGGGGGTCGGGCCGGCGGCGGCGGTGCGGTCCGGGAGGAATGGGCCGGCGGGGCGGGCCGGGCGCGGGCGGCGGGCGGCGGGCGAGGAGGACCCGGGGGGACTGGGGCGCTCCGGCCGCGGGGGAGCCTAAAAGGCCGGGCGGAGCCGGGCGGAGCCGGGGGCCGGGACCCTCCCCCGCCGCGGCCCAAACCTTGTAGGGGCAGAAGCTCGGCCCGGCCGGGGGGCGCGGCCGCCCCCGGCGCCCACCCCCTCGGGACCGCCCCCTGCGGCCCCGCCCGCCCGCCCGCCGCCTCCCTCCGCCGTCGGAAGGGAAGGGAAGGGAAGGCACCCGGACCGCCCGGTAAAGAAGCCTGCCCCGCGGAGGGAGGGAGGGGAGGGGAGGGAGGGGGACCCTCGGCCAGGGGCTCCGCGGCCTGAGTGACAGCCCGGCGCGGCGGCAGCTGCGGCCGGGGCCCCGGGGCTATTTCGGGGCGTGAGCTCACGGCCAGCTGCCCGGGCGCGGGGACCGGCGTGCCCCCCTCCGCCGCAGCAGCCGCCGGCCTTAATTTAGAAGTTTCCTGCAAATCCCCCCCGGATCGAATGTCCCTTGGGGGGGGGGAGGGGCTCCTCCGCGGCCCGGGTGCCTCAGTTTACCCCCGGCCCCAGAGACTCTGGGTTTGCGTGGCCGACCGACGTGGGGCCTCGCCGGGGGCTTGGGGAAACTGAGGCAGGAGGGGAGCCCCGAGCCCTGGGCGCGGCCCGGGTTGCTGCCCCCGAGGGCGGGCTTGCCCTCCGGTGCCCTCGCTGACTCCCCCTGCAGCCTCGGCCCCAGAGCCGGGGCCCCTCCCCTGCGGCCGCCCCCACGTGCCCCGCATAGTTTCCACGCGGCTGCCGCCCGCGGGCACGCCTCCCCCGCCGGGCCCTCCCCGCCCCCGCCTCGCTCCCCGCGCCCTCCCTCCTCCCGGCGGACTCTCCTCTCCCCCCGGGGCCGAGTTCACGCCGAACTCGCTTTTCTGCCCTTTTTTGGGCCGTTTCCCCGCGGGGAGGCGGGGCCGGGCCGGGCGGGCAGCGGGGGCGTGGGGAGGAGGCGCCGAGCCGCCCCCGGAGCCGGGTGCTGGGGTCGGCGGTGGGACCGCGGGGCGGGGCGGTGTCCGCCTCCTCCTGGGACGGGAATGGGGATGGGCATTTGGGGGGAAGGAAGTGGGGGGCCGCCTCCGAGTGGTGAGGGGGGCCGGGCCGAGGAGGCCTGGGGGAGCGCTTCGCCTCGCTCCCCAGGGGCCCAGGGCCGGGGGCCTGGCTTTGCCGGGGCGGGTGGGAAGCGTGGGAACCCTGGGCCCGGCCGGGGCAGGGGCTGGGGGGGGGGGGGAGGGGCGGGAGGAGGGAGCGTAAATGTATTTCGGTCTGTTGAGCTGCTGCTGCTCCTCGCGGAGCAAGCCCGACCTCTCCCTCCACCTCCCTGCTTTCCCAAACCATGGAGGACGCCTCTGGGCCCGTCCTTCCCCAACCTCACCTCCAGCACCCAGGCTCGTAACTCATGCTGCCTTCCTACTGAGCCTCTGTAGGCGCTGGAAATGGCCATACTTTCCTTAAAGTCTCAACCTTCTATGCGTCCTGTTCCCTCTCCCTAACATGCGCTCCCCTTCGCTGGCCTTAAAGACTCAGGTGGATGTCTGCCCTTCTGGGAAGCATCCCTGGCTACTTCCTCGTTCACGTCCTCCCCGTAATGGGTGTATGCTCCCGGTGCAGGCTCCTTGCTTCTCATCAAAGTCCCTCTTAGAACCTTCTCCTACCTGTTTGTCTCCTCCCCTGGCCTGTGAGTCCTCCTGTTCTGGACCCCCCATGCCTAGCAGAGCATCAGGCATAGAGTTGGCACTTGGTCAACATTTGCCAGGTGAATTTTTTATGCACTGGGTCCCAGATATCCAAAAAATACCAATTTTATGTGGAATGGGCTTAGAATCCCTTACACTCTTAGAAATGGAGTGGCATTTGAAGATCCAAAAAGCTTTCGTTGAAGTAGGTTACATCTATCAATATTTTCCGTATTAAAATGGGAACTGAGAACGTTTTTAAACATTACTTCATAGAAATAAATCATGTTATCATGTTTTTCGTGAAAAATAACTATATTCACCTACCCAGGTTAGTGAGGATGGCAGTTATTTTACATTTTTGCAAATCAGTCTCTGGCTTAATAGAGGACAGCTGCATTCTCAGAATCTACTTGGCTTTCTGTCTGTTGCTATGGTTTGGATTGTTTGAAGTACTGTATGTGAAGAAAATCTAGTCTCACTCAGAAACACAGTGGGAAAGAGAGTGATACACACACACACACACACACACACACACACACACACACACTGTGTTTGCCCGAAAATAAGACATCCTCCGAAAATAAGACCTAGCGCGTGGAAAGATAAGACATCCCCTGAAAATAAGATCTAGCGCAACTTTGGGAGAAAAAATTAATATAAGACACTGTCTTATTTTCGGGGAAGCAGGGTATATATATCAGGTAATTGTGGATATTCTTGCTCTCACACCAACACTTGACAAATGGTAGTTTCTCAAAGTTTAGGTGCGATGTGGAGCCTGAAACCATATCAATAGCCTTTTTCCCTATTTTACATTAAGGTCCATTGGTCTGTGTTGCACTTGGGAGGTTTTACCCAGGGACACTTTTGTAGCATCATGCATCAGTCATGTGGAAAATATTGATTCACCAAGCTATACAAATGTTCCAAATGTTGACACATTTATTGTTTTTTAAATCACATTTCTGAATATCAGGAGTGGTTTCCACAGGAAAGTGTGTTTCAAGTTTTGGGATGTTGTGAAGCTCATGGTAGCAGATACAGGCTTTCAAAATTCTGATTTTTACTTGAAAGCTCCAGTTCTATCATTGGCACTAAATACTGGCAGGTTTTTCTCTGACTTGGCAGACTCACTTTGTTCCCCTGCTACCCAGGTCTGATAATCATGGTCAGTCATTCTTTCAAGTCAATGGGGAGTTCCATGAAAAAAAGCAGTTGGTTCAGCTCACAGATCAACAAACTAAGTGCTTTCCTCGATACTCTTGTGTCTAGCAGAAGCTCTCTGCCCACTTCCCAGTTTATCACCGAGAATATTGAAGACTTGTCACTCCAGGGATGATTAATAAAATTAATAAGGTCTCACGGCTTCATTAAGGACGGTCTTAAGTGAAACTAGCACTCATTTGTTAAGTTGCTAGTGCATGGTGGTGAGAATACAATGACGATTAGTACACTGTCTTGATTTGTGCTATGGCAGTTTACCCACTAAGGTTTTACATCAGTACAAATGTTGACACTGAAAAAGGAAAATAATGTCTTAGTATTACTATGAAAATAATCTTGACCTTATGGATCCCTCAAAGGATCTTGGGAACCCCTTTGCCTGAGGATCACATTATAAGAACTGCTGGCTTAATGGGAACTCCATTCACTCCCCAAGGCTTCACTAGTGAGAGTGTGTGATTGGGGACGTGGAAACATGACAGGGAAGTGGTAGCAGGAGTGAACAGCAGTCCTGGGCTCAGAGCTGGAGTTCCCATCTAGATACTACTTGCTGGGAGGTTGGAAAAGGGATTTGAGCTCAAAGATCCTCAACTCACCATGCTAGGACATTGAACCTGGGCTCAGAGGGCCACAGCAGTGTGTCCTGGAGTTGCCAGTCCCCTGCGTCAGGGAGGTGATAATACATCTCTATTTTCCAGTGCTTAGCACGGGCATGGCTTAGTAAATATTGAATGAATTAATCACAGGTGACAGGAGCAAGGGTAGGGAGTTGGCACCTTCCCTAATGGGCTGCCCTGGGGAGGACAGAGTGATTCTGTCTTCTTTCCACCCACTCTCATGGGGTGGGAGTAGCTGCCATGGCCTCGGAAGGTGAGAGGGGCCCCGAGTAGCAGCAGATGAGTGGTGTTTGTGTTCTATTTGGAAGGAGAAGAAAGGGAACATCGTGGGCAACAGGGTTGGTTCAAGAATCATGCATGAATCCTCCAAGATGGCTGCGCCCAGGTGAATACCTAGCTGCAGCCTCACACAACAATTTCAATAAAATACAACTAAAATATAAAACGGACATTACCCAGAACTACAGGAAAGTTGACTGACTGGAAATTCTACAACGAGAAGCAAGAGAAAACCAGAAGGAAGCGCGGAGGAGCTGGAAAAGCCGAAGGTACGGAGACACGCGGCGCGCGGAGAGGACGGAGCTGGAGAGGAGGGAGGCGGAGTGCCTGGCGGGCCTTCCCAAGCGGGAAGGAGATAAAACTCTGACTGTGCTGGGCCCCCGACTACTCTGAACCCAACCCTAGGCCAGACCCCGGGGACTCAGGCTCAGCCAGAGGGAGCTGGGCTGCGAGGCGGAACCCGGGGAAGCTGCGAAAGGAGGTCCCGGCGGTGCACACATTGTGTGCAGAGAAGGGACGGCCAGCTGTGCCGCGGGATTGCCTGGTGAGAAGGAGACAGGGGCTCCAGACTGCTCTGAACGCCACCTCCAACTCCACTTCCAACTGAACTGAACCCCAATACCGGGCTCATTGGGGAGAGCATTGACTGTCTGGCAGCAGGCGATCGAGGGCGCCTTTCTCTCAGAGGCGCCGGCAGCGAGCACTGAAGGACCCGCATAGGGCGGGGCTGACGGAAGCCAAAGCTGCAGGCTCCACCCTGAAACCCCGCCCCATCTGTAGCTGCGAAATGCGACAACGAAATAGATCACAAACGAAAGAAATGGAGGACAAAAAGCGGCTGGATATAGAGTTCAAATCTACGCTTATAAGGTTTTTCAAGAATTTCCTAGAAAAGATGGATAAGACCTATGAGGATATGAAAAGAAATCAACTAGAATTAATAAGGAGTCATCAAGAAATGATAAGGGAACAACAAGAAATAAAGAATACATTGTCTGAAATAAAAAATATTTTACAGAGTCCTAAAAACAGAAGGGAAGATCGCAAGAATCAAGTCAAAGATTTGGAACATACAGAG